CATTTTTAGTAGGAGCCATATTAAACATGCAATTTAGGAAAATGAAGAAAAACCCAGAGAAGCAAAACACCAATGCCATACTCACAGACGCAGTGGATGCAACAAAATACAATTTTGACAGTTTTAGAGATGAACGCAATGTATTTCTATATCAGTGGCGACTCGATAGCAAACCATTAAACCCTGAAAAATTAATATAGGTACCTTTACTAAACTCTACGAGAACTCTCTAACAGAAGCCATCCAAGAAGCAATAGGAATAAAGAAAAAAAAATACCAACAGGAAATAATGCTAGAACGAGGAGATAGAGCTATTAGTCCAAGAGAACAAGCAAAAATATCTAAAATGGCTAACAACAAAAAATGAGCAAGACCTTGAAGTTCATAAAGACACAAAAAAACAACTGAGAACGTGCATCACTATAGCTAAGAACGAGTCATGGGATGAGAAATGTGAAGAAATAACAACCTACATAGGAGGAAGGAAATGCTCAGAGGTATGGAAATTTCTATCAAATGTCAAAAACCCAGGACAGGATAGAGCTAATATCCAAGTAATCAAACCAGAGCAATGGATAGAACACTAAGTACAAGGGTCTATTACAAAAAAGTAGACCGCAATATATATTCGACTCTCCAATATTGAAGTACATGGAGAAGTAGTTGAGATATCTGAAGAAACAGTAAAAAAGACTGTCAAGAATCTTAAATCAGATAAAGCTAGCGGCCCAGAAGGGATATACTGCGAAATGCTGAAATGGGAAACTGAGGAGCTGTTAAGAGGTCTACAGAGAAAGAAGAAAAACAGTGCGGCTTTAGAGCAGGAAGATCAGGTAAATACAACGTATTTTGCCTAAAAAAAGTCATAGAAAAGAGATCAGCAGGGCTGGGACTCTGTAACGAATAGCGATCAATATCTCTATCTCTATTGTTGTCTCCTCTCTATTGATTTCGATATGAGAGAAGACATCACATGTCAAAGCGAAGGGAATAACGATCTCCCCACCTCACATTTGTGGACTAACAAAAAGCATACGATACAATCCCAATATCCAGATTATGGACTATGGAAGGTATAAGAACAATCCAACAGCAATGACACCTATATAACGGCAAAGACAGATTTATAGTGAATAAAGGAACTACGTCAAGGATATTGTAACTCTCCTACGCTTTTGAAAATATACGTAGAAAAAGCACTAAAAAATTGGAAGAGGAAGATCTATGGAATGGGTATAGAGATAAATAATAGGTGTCTGTTTACTGTTTACTTTTTAATTAGCAGATGATCAGGTCATAGTGGCCAGTGACAAAGAGGATATGCAATATATGATTAGAAAGCTGATAGAAGAGAATGGGGTCTGAGAGTTAATATCAATAAAATAAAATATCTGTGTAGGCACGCAGAACGTAAACTTGGAAGTGGACAATGGTCAGGAAATTCTGCAATGTCAGAAATATGAGTATCTAGGTATTAAATTCCGAAACACCGGAAGAGATATGTAAGAAAAGCAAATAGTTAAAACTAAAAAAGTAATAGAATGCCTAAATGGAATCTTATGGAGTAAGGAAATAACAAACAAGAGAAAATTCAATTTATACGAGACAATCATAAAGAGCAGCCTTTTATATATGGAGCCGAGATTTGGAGAATTACAGACAGACGAACGAAGAATGTAGAAGCAGTTGAAATGGATGCTATTAGAACATCCATGCGAATCTCACGATGAGAGCGAATAAGGAACGACCATATCAAACAACAAATAGGAATAAAAGGCACAATACTTATTGAAAGGCAACAACTTACCTAGTAGGGACACGTAGAACGAATGCCAAATACCAGGTGGCCCAAAAAGATGCACCATTGGCAACCAATAGGTAGAACAAATCGAGGAAGACCAAAACTTGAATGGCAGAAGACCATACAAAAGTTAACGAGTGAAAAAATCTCTCATCAGAGGATTGCGACGATAGAAGAGGATGGGAATTAGGTGTTTTAAATTTTATATTCTGATTAATAACTTCCTATTCTGAATTACAATTGAAAAAGGTGTAGATGTTTAATTTTTTTATTTGATATGTTATTGTCATTGCATATTATCAGTTTGTTAGAACAAGTTCTTTGTCTAATAAAACCAATATTTTTGTATAATTCCAAAGTTCTATTCATTACAACAATGAAGGAGGATTTTTTTTCTGTCAAACAAAATAGATAAAAAGCTAGTCAGTGCACCAAATTTCGATTTTGACCCTAACCTGGAAATAGGGCGTATAATATAGTGAAGGTTTTTTAGCAATTCCTCAAAAGGTTAAAGTTAGATGTCAGAATCATGGGATTCATCATGATCAACATTTATGGAGTATGGCTAAGGTATTCAAAAATGCGAAGAGTCTAGAAGAATATATGAGGAAAATATGCTATTGCTACCATGTATGGAAGAAAGACTGATATCTTGGATGATCTTCCATACAGATATTTCAGTCAGAAAGGTGGCTATCAAAATTATGATTTAAGCCCAGTGGCTGGGCTACAGTTATGAATTTGCTAATAATAAGTCTTATTCGTCTGTTAAGTTATTATTATTGTTATGGATATCAGTGGTAGGTGGATGGGTAACCGATGAGACCACTGAGTCTTTTAGTTTTCCAGTTTGTTCACAAATTAAACACCATAATGCACAAACGTATTGTGGCAGCCCCTCATTTCTGGATCCCAGCAGTTTTTGAATTGATCTACTGACATTGCACTAATTGTTTCATGACTAAGTCTATTCCACTGATAAACCACTCAAGAAATTTCTTCTTAGTAACTTGTTACATCTTTCCTTCTCACTCAAGTTTCTGGTTATTTCCTCTGGTATTGGTGGCGAAGAAGAAGTTAATTTCACATGTATAGTGAACATTAAGTATTTTGTAAGTTTCAATAAGGTCTCCCCTCGTTCTTCTGTCTTTTAATGTAGCTAGGTTTAGTTGGTTAAGGCGGCTCTTGTAGGGTACGTAACTCTTTGACTTCATTAGGAATCCTTGTAATAGGGCGCTGTATGTACTCTCTCAATCAGTTCAATGTCTTTGATGAGATGTGATATGGGTTCCAGATGGAATGGGCGTATTCGAGCTTTGCTCTTACATAAGTTTTGTAGAGCTTTAGAACCAATAGAACCATTTCTTTAAATAGATTTTTGGAAGATTTTTGAAAATTTCCTTTTGTAGATTTTGTGTAGGCTGTGCAATTATTTGAACCTGTGTTTTGGCAACGTGGTCACTTTTTCCAAGGGGTGCATGTTCTTGAACATCGATAATGAATTTCTTCTCATTTACAATAGGCAGGTCTAGAAGAGATGTTTGGTCGTTCTGGAACCTTGTAGAAAAATTTACATGTTGGTGACCTCTATGGTTTTTGCAGCTGTCCAGAAAGTCTTAACTACACTGGTTCACTGGTTGTGCGGATGTACTTCCAATGTTTTCCAGTTTATTTCGGGGTAGTTGAAGACTCCCATTATGTACCCCGGTTGTTTTAGTGACATTGAATTTTCAATAACTTGTGCTAGTTCTGGTGTTGTGTTCTATGCCTGTTTTTTTGTTTAGGTCTGGGTCTGCCTGCCATGAAGAAATTTTATCTTACTTAAGGCAATTTCAAGCCATAGGGATTCAATGGGTCCGGCAGTAGCAAAATTTTGGTTGCATGGTGCATCAATCTTGTTTGTCATAGAACACAGATTGCTATACCACAAAGAGACTTCAACTAGGGATGTTTTTAGTTTTTTGATTGTTCTTTAAGTTAATGTATTTAATTTTTATGTCATTTTCAAAAGATTATTTCTTCTTTCAAGTTCAGCTAAGAGATCTGCTAATCATTTTCTCTGCATCTGAATTTGGTCACTCTTTATCTAAACTTCAGCAGCGTTGTCTAGTTTGTATTTTTGGCTTCTGTCGGATACCTTTACATATATATCTATTAAATCTCTCTGTTTTGTGTATCAAGTGCCTTCACCTCGAACAGCAAAATATTTGCTGAACGTCATCGTCAAAAACAAAAGTTTATTGTAAGAAATTTGAAATTTTGCGTACTTTCAACTTTTTTAAATGAAATGCCCTATATTTGCTTCTAATATAAAGTTTGTCTATATTTGTTTGAGCTGCCTTCAACATATTTGGCTCTAAAAATTGGAAAAATACTATCCTACTGACGATTTTGTGAACCAATCTCATGAAAGCTTCAGGTAAAATTTGAGGCAGTTGGTTTCGCTGATAGTATTTTTTAAATTTTTGATGCCAAATATGGTGGAGACAGTTCAACTAAATATAGAGAAACTATATATTTTTGGAATCGGAAAATTGTGCTCTTCAAGAATATAGAATCAAATATAGGGCATTCTATTTGAAAGAAGTTTAAAGTACGCAAAATTTCAAATTTCTGACAATAATTTAGCAAAAACTGCTCCACTTTTGTATTTGCACCTATCATCTACATATAAAGGTGGGGTGTCAAATTATAACCAAACACTCTGTTCCTTCCAATATTTTGTATGCCCCCCCCCCCCCCTTAATTTGTGTCTGGATCCGCGCCTGGCTGGCTGAGACTTCTCCGATCTTATCTTCTCTACCTCATCTTCAGGCTGGACTATGTTTCCTCTCACTTCTTTGGCATTCATTTTAATTTGCAGGACATCTGCATAGCTCTTCTTTGTTGCAGTCATAGCATCTTTAAGTTCACTCTGGATATCTGTCACCCTCTTTTCTAGTTGAAGGACTTCTTTGATTTTTGGAAATTCCAATACTGTGCTGCGAACAACCTCTGTGCAATCACTGCAGTAATAAGATAGTACCCTTGTTTGAGCAGTGAATGGTCTTATTTTACTGGAGGATAATAATTCTGAATAATTTCTACAGAAAACTCTCTTGCAAAGGTCACATGCGCCTTTATCAAATCAAAGACACACTTTTATTAAAAGCTCAAGTCCCTGAAACATATAAGAGCTAATTTCTCATTTCTCTTTTAGATTCTAAATCGTTTCAAATATGTCCGGAAGAACCCTCCTCAGTCGTCCCCGGACTCGCATCTACGATTCCAACTACAACATTGGAGAAAGCTACTACAAATCCGCTCTGGATCGTCTGGATCGCAAATATTCTGGTCGTCCCTTATCGCCCCCTAGGCAATCATCCCCTGCTGCAAACGACGCAGCTGATCGCCATGCCAGGTAATAATACTTACCATCAATAATTATCAAATTTAAAAAAATTGTTCATTTAGAGTTTTCGGTGAAGATGATCTTGAGGACTCCAGACGTAGAGCCAGCAGCAGAATTAAGGAAAGTAATTTGTTTGATTCTAGAGGTGCTATATTGAGACGTGGGAGTGATTTTTTTGGAGAAGATGGAATCACTGACGAGGTAAATACAGGAAGTCTTTTTTCAAATTAAAATATTGTAATAATTCCTGAGTTTAATTCAAAATCAACTTCTTGTATTTATATATAAAAAAAAAACATTATGTATTTGAGAAGAAAAATATAATTTTAGACCGCCTCAACTTTGAAAAGGATCAGAGCTTCCAAAAAAGTGTCATACGTCGACGATGTAGATCTAGAGAGTACCACTAACAACCTCAGAACTCAACGATTATTGGACAGATCAGAAAAAATCTTAGACAGCATTGGCATCAATGAGAGCTCAGCAAGCAAACGCGCTTTGGACAACGAATTTTCTTATCAAAAGAGATCCATGAAAGTAAGTGGAAAAACTTTGTTTGTTGGCACAGAATTTTGTTTCTAAAGCGAATTTTTCAGATGTCTTATGACGCGGACGCAGACAACCTAACAAAATGGGCCCCAATTGAAAATGGAGAATCGAATGTTAGCGCTGCAGCACGCAGAGCTCGTCAGTCTCGTGCTAGAATAGATGATATCGATGATGAAATGGCCGCTATGCAAGAAAAACAAGCAGTGAGGTCAGTAGACAGACATTTTTTGACTCAGAGTTATCTTATTTCAATCAAATTTTTGACTACCTAAGTGGTGTAACATAATTTAGTCAGTTAAACTTACTCTGTAAATGATTAATAGTTATTAGAAGAAATTACTCTAACAAACTTATTCTTTAGGGAACGTAGAGTTGCTAGGTTGAAGCAAATGGTAGCAGAATGTGACTCAGAAACAGTAGACGACAGCGGCGTCTCCTCTCTGTCCATCACAGAAAAGAAAGTTCGATTCTGAAAACTGCCGAACACTGACAATAATTAATATCGGTAGTTGACAAGACATATTTTTTTTCTTTGTTTATTATTATTTTATATATTTTTAGTTCTTAAAACTACCAATTTATTCACTTGTTAATTTATCAATTTAGATTTATTTACTGTTATTTTATTGTAATCAATTATAATTTGTGCATTTTGATTGCTGAGGGTATTTTAATATGTTAAGAGGATGGCACTAATACCCGTATTGTAATATATTATTGGAAATAAACCAAAAATTGTTTTGTGTTTTAGGAAGGTATCAATAAAAACGATTTAATGGAAATCTAATTTTTATTACATTAAACTTACGCTTCTATACTATGACAATGTTCCCAGGCTTTAGCGTTGACCTGCTTCAAAATGGTTTTCAAAGATTGACCTGGGCCGCATTCATAAGTGTTCGGAAAATAGGAATCTTGGTTTCTTTCGTACATTGAGTGTAAAGTTTGTTCCCATTTCACTGGCCTTACGATCTAAAAAGTATCAAATTATCAGTCAAGAAGCTGAATCTGTGGAAATCTGATTGAGCCAATTGAGGACTCAAGAAACTTTGCACTATAAACTGTAGTTTAATTAATCAAAGTACTAAAAGATTAAAGTAATCAGGCAGGATTCAGAATGTCCCATTCTGATTTGAAGGAAATTTGGTTCCAGAACGCAGAAATCTGGGTCAGAGGGTCCTTAGACCAGTTATCACAATTCTGAACATGTTTTTGAATTCAACTAGGAAATTGAGTTTATCTATAGTGTTTCATAACGAAAGAAAGTAGGTAAATAAATAAAATGCAATCAGTTACATTACCCTTACCTGCTTTGGAAGTTGCTTTCTTATATGTTCAGCATTTCTATATCTTTTACCATCCACATTCGAGTATACGCTGATGACAGGATCTTGTATATCAATTTTTTTCAAAGCCCTCTGAAAAGGCTCTACAGCAATTTGCATATGTTCTGAATGAAACGCCCCACTGACTGGCAATTTTTTTAATTTCTTTAAATTGTATTCCTTATAGTTTTTCTCCAGATAATCCAGAGCCTAAAACATAAAATATTTTCTAATGGCAGTTCAGTGGAATCTTCTTAAGTAAAAAATCCTATCGTTAACTGGAGTATAGGTTTGACCATGATTTTTTGAGGCAAACTCAATATCAAAGTTTAGTATTCTATTCTCTTCAAAAGGAATATAAATAAATAAAAGAATTCTTACTGACTCACTTCCAGCAACAACTTTGCAATGGGGATAAAGATAGTTGCTGACAAGGCATTCTGGAACTTCATCTCCTTTGTCAATAGCCCAGTCTTTAGCAGCCTTAACAGCATAATTCAATTTACTATCGGGTCCATAAAAAACTGTCAGCATACCACCTTTATGCATATCGCTCGCTCGTTGCATTGCTTCGGCTCTGATTTGGATTAATTTTAAAGCTAAGAATTAATTTGATTTTAGATTTAGCAACTGAATTGAGTATATTTTTACCTTTTTCAAAGTCTAATGCACCTGCAAAAACTAAAGCTGTAAGTTCTCCCAAGCTAAAACCAGCAGTCGCAACACATTTATCAATACCTTGAGGTCTTTCTTCCTTTAACCTCTCTATGGCAGCTAATGAGGATACAAAAATAGCTGGTTGGGCATATTTCGTCTCGTCTAGTTTACTTTTAGGTCCTTCTAAGCAAATTTTTTTTAGGTCGTATTTTAAAATGTAATTAGCTAACTGAAATAAGTCTCGAACCATGGGAAACTTTTGCAACTCTTTTGTCATTCCTACGTATTGACTGCCCTGGCCCGGAAACAAAATAATTGTACTGTCCCTGGGATCTTTTTGGTTTTTCTGCTTGAAGAAGTCTCCTTGTTTTCTGCTTTCTTGTAGCTGAGCTTCGGTACCTAGAAATATAGATTTACGGATCGGAACTAAAATTCTTTCAGGGAAATATTGTCACGCTTAGGCCTGTACCCTCGAGGAGCTTAAAGGGGGTGTGACCCAAAAATGAAAGTTTTAGTGCAAAAAAATTCAAGAATAATTATTCAAACCGCATCTTGCTACGATGGTCCGTTTTCGAGTTAGGGCGGTTTAAAGTTACAACTACGCTTTTGTGACGTCACACTGAATTTTCAGGCACAGTATTAACATGTCTGAGAAGACCCCAAAACTAAAGATAATTATCTCCTGGGGGGGTTTATTTGAAATGTGCAATTCAAATTCGTCTGACTAAGTCGCATTTTCTAGCATTGAAATACCGGCAAAAATTGCGACTTAGTCAGACGTATTTGAATTGCACATTTCAAATAAACCCCCCCTGGAGCGAATTGCAACCACTCAAAGTATAGGGTACGATTCACTGACGACTGAACGACCAGAAGACTGCGATTGCGGCGGTTGTGACATCACAATTTTCTGCATAATTGATCTTCACAAGGAATTTTCTCGGAGACTATTCTGAATACAGGACTGGGGTTTTCACGAGAGATCTTAGAATTTTTTTCTTGATTTGAGTAGCTTAAGTCGTTTTTTAGGGTCACACCCCCTTTAAGGCTGTGGAGACTAACCTCTGCCTGACTGCATTGCGGTGCGCGTAATTTATACAAGAATTATTGCTACCGTCAGCAGAGTCAGTTAATTTTCTGTAGTACAAGCGTCAAAATAGGGTTTACCAAAAATAGATCGCAGTAAATGTTCTTCCCTAGTGGGCTATCATTTAACATTCCCTTGGAATGCCTATTTTTAGGGAAAGCCCTACGCTGTCAATAGTAACCAAACAGCCCTATGAAAATGTACCCTCGAGTAGGGCTACCATCCGTCCGGATTTGTCCTAGTTCTAAAGGCATCCGGGGACGTCCGGGAGGATTTTTTGAAATTATCCGTGTTTTACGCTTCACGGCATCTTGAAAAAAATCACGCATAACTCCGCGAAATTGACTAGAATCATGGAAATCGTCAATCGACATCAATTTAGCCCGCGTGTGCGCGACTCAAGTTTCACTTTCACGTGTCGTAACTCGTGTGTCGTTAGTCATGTTTGGAGCTCGGTGAAAGCTATAAAACACCCCAAAAAAATATTTTTTGTCAAAATAATGAGTGGTTCTCGAAGGCTTAAAATAAACTTTTTTGGGCGTGGCACCCAAAAAAATCTTCTACCTCCGGCGGCGCCTAAGGTGGGCTACCCTTTAGTGGTGTCCGGGTTTGAGGGGTTAGAATCCGGGGTTTTTGTGGCAGCCCTACCCTCGAGGAGCTTAGTTACCATAAGTCTAGGTTTGGGGCGTTGAGTGGGGCTTCTACAGCATGACATTCACCTTAGAATCTCAGTCGTACTGTAGCAAGTCACACCCAAATTGGAGAGAAAGTCTTTCATAACAATAGTTCAACGGGGGGAAAAATTTCCTACAAACTTAAATTCAAATTCAAAAAAAGCTTTATTGTCCAAAGTACATAAAGTTCTCATTGACAAAGCACTGAATAGTTATTTTTGTATCAAGGGCGCGAAATGCTACTTTGGTGATCGAAATCTGATTTTTTTAACGAGGCGCAGCCGAGTTAAAAAAATAGTCGAGATCAACAAAGTATTTCGCGCCCGAGTTGCAAACAATATTTTTTCTACAACTCTATTTAAATATCAATCATTCGAAGCCAAAATTGCATTTTCAAACAAAGGTAGGTGAATTTTAATTATTTTTGATTTCCTGACAGGTATGTGTCACCATGACACCCAGTGTGCGAACTAGCTATTTCGCGCACACGTGCGCGAAATAGCTAGTTCGCGCACGGCGTCATGGGAACGTTAGAAAATCAATACCTGGGAAAAAAGTGCCACTTCGCAAACTGTTATGAGTGTGCGAACATCATCATTTTTTGACAGTTGTAGAAAAAATAATTTTAAAAATAATGTCATAATGAATTGTGATAGCATAGTATATCACAAAACTCTAAGTATAAAATTTGACAACAAAAGATAAAAACGAGAACAAAACCTAAACTAGAAACCATAACAATATTATTCGTTCAAACTATAATAAGCCGCACTAACCACAGCAACCTCTTAACGTCACTCCTAAAATGTCTCTGGAAAAGGATGGATGTCATATTCCTTGGCAGATGGTTGAAAATCTTAATGCTTTCATGTATAACAGATTTTTTTACCAGTGTGGAGTGTGGTACCTATGGGTAACATTAAGTTGACGCGTTTCGGGCCGAAAAGGTAGCATTACGGGATGTAAATCTGTGCCAATTTTTGTAGACAAAAATGACTGTTTCTAGAATAAACAGATTGTATAAAGTTAGAATTTTTTCTTTCTTTAATAAAAGTCTTGTTAGCACCACAGGTGTACCTAAGAGCTTGCTTCTGTAATATAAAAACACAGTCCAACAGATTCTGGGAACAGAACCCCCAAAAGCAATTACAATATCTTAGCCTTGACTCATCCAAGGCAAAATAGACCGATCTGGACAAGGAACGTCCCAGTTCAATGGCCGTTATTCTGACTGCAAAATACCCAGATGATATTTTCTTTGAAATACTGACAATGTTGATTCACTGTCAATAATAAGTCCCAGAAACTTGGTCTCAGGTCGGAATTTGATAGAAATATTGTTGGCGAGTCCTCGATCGCATCTTAATGACAAAATATTTGTTTCAGTTAAAAGCACCAGAAGATAAAAATCACACCAAGATTTGAGCTGCTGAAGATCTATGAGAATAGCTCGTTTTAGACTTTCATGGTCATCACAGTGCCATAGAATTGTGGTGTCATCTGCAAACAAAGTAAATTTCCCGGTAATATTAAGTCACGCAAGGTCATTTATAATAATTAGAAATAATAGTGAAGACTCAGTACCTATAATTTAAGGTACCTACAACCCAATTATTTTCCAAAACCACCGATTGAGACGATCCAATGTGAACTTTCTGATGACGATCAGACAAATAGGATTGTCACTCCTCTAAAGCCATATAGTGGAGAGAGCTTCTGCAACAGGATGTGATTGACGGAATCAAATGTTTTTGATAAATCGCAGAAAGCTGCTGCAGTTACTCCACTATTAACGCCGGAATAAAGACCTTCCAAAAATTGAAAAATCGCATCATCTGTATTGCGATGATCTCGAAAGCCAAATTGAAGTGAACTTAGAAGATTGTTTGTATTCAAAAATGAGATCACTCTACTTTTAACCAATTTTTCTAGAATTTTGGATAGATCAGAAAGTAGTGATGAATGAATGAAAGAGTGGGCGGCCGTGACCGTAGTGCACATAGGTCTCCTGTGGTGGACCCGTCGTGCCCCACTGAGTTCTACCAGAGGCCTATGTCCTTAGAAAAGCCAATCAGGCACCCTGGCTTCATCCTTTTGACGTCATCAGGCAAGCAATACAACTTGCCCAGGTGTTTGAACCTCGCGCGCGTGAGTGCTGGGCACTCACCAATGACGTCGTCAGCCGTTTCTTCATTCCGGGTCGTCCGTTATGCCCATGTTGTGGAGATGGCGTCTTAGGTGCCAGTGTCCGGTTAGGAGACCAGTCACTAGCCGTATCTCGTGTCTGTTTAAGCGCAGTAGTTGTTTGGTGAGACAGAAAGTAGTGATATGGGCCTATATTTAGAGGCATCTCCCAAATCTCTACTCTTGTGAAATGGAATAACTTTTGCCAGCTTAGGGCATGAAGAGAGGACACCAGACTCCCAAGACAAATTGATAGCTTGAACCAAAAGTTCGTCAGAGAAATTTGCAAATAATTTTATGGACAGATCATCGTCCCCAGACCTTTTTCTATTATTAATGCCTGATACCTGATATGGATATAATTGATGTGTTTTAACTCTTCCAGGGCAGTAGAAAAGAAGTAAAAGGAATTATTGACCCCTGCATTATTTGAAGAAAAAAAAACTAAGTAAGTGGAACAGTGTGTTGAATAATATTTTTGGTCAGGCAGGTAGTTTTCGAAATAAGTGTGAAAGTGTGGATTATCTGTGAATTATCTGATATAGTGAAGATTTTAAAGATTGATTAATTGAGATGAAAAAACACTCTACCAGTAATCACTATCACATAGTCGGTAGAACCTACCATAGTTTGATGAACAAAAAATTCTGTCCTGCTTGTACCTTGCTGTTTTTTTTTTAGAGAGATCATGTGAACTTTACACAAAACGGCATTATGATCGGTTGCAGTCAAAAATTTCAGAACAAATATTTGAACATACATTATAACTCAGACGTACATTTTGACATGTTGGACATTTAACATTTATTTGTAAATTCAAAGATCTAAAAAAAATTGGTCAGTCTTGCAGTCATACCAAAGTCATAAAAGTTAATATTTAGGTCACCAGCTAATATCACAGATGAAGACACTGGTATTGATGATAATAGGGCCATTAATTTCTGCATTAGGTGATCTGTAAACAGTAATGCAATAGAAAATTCAAATATTTTTTCTTCAAGCAGGTCATTAAATTTTACTATGGGTTGGTTGAAAAGAATTGACAGTTAGGAATTCAGTATTCACTAGAATCATGCAACCACCATGCCCAAACACGTTTCTGTAAAACGAAAATATTACTGTATATATATCCAGAACAATTCTCCCTCTTTAGGGCAATGTTTAGTAATCAGTACCATATTTGGACAACCCACGCTGATTAATAAATACAGACATATCATTCACTCGATTTATTCCTAAGTGATTGAATATTCTCTCGAAAACTAAGTGATTATCAGTGAAAACTTTGTACAAAATTAAGGAAGGACAATGCGATGGTGATTTGGTTTAGTTATGCTGGTTATGCATTTTCACTAGTTTATCTTTTTGTTTGTTGTTGTTGTTACATTATTGAAAACCAATTTGCCATATTCTTTCAATACGCAGGTTCGACATTTTTTTATTTTAACCTGAAT